TCCCGCTGTCCCACTGCCCCGATCTCACTCCCGCTGCCCCACTGCCCCGATCTCACTCCCACTGCCCCGATCTCTCCGGCCCACACTCGATCCACCGTCACTGCAGTTCACAACCCGCGCATTCAGTTCCCACCACGTGGTTCCCAGTCGTGACCCGGCTCCCTCCCGGCTCCTTAGGCAGGTCGTTAAAAAGGGGTGGTTGGGGGAATAGAATTAGTATAGAGGGACAGAGAAAAAGGGAGAGGTAAAAGGAAGGACAAAGAAAAAAAGAGAAAGGGAATTAATGAGCAGAGTGGAGCTTCGAATGGCGAGACTTACCCTGACAGAATCGTGACTTTGTCTTCTGTGTGTTAGCCAGTCCTCAATCTCCATTTCTCCCTAAACCATGGGCTTGTACAGAAAAGAGTGTGGTTCTGTAGATCAGACCAGGATGGCAGATTTCCCTCCCTAAAGGGCATTAGTGCACTTAATGGGTTTTCTCTTTCAAATAACAGCTGGCTACAACTAGGCCAGCTTTATACTGGATTCAAATGTCACCATCTGCTATGGTGGGGTTTGAACCCATGACCCAGACCATTGGCTTGCGGGGCTTCTGGTCCAGTGATACTGCCACTAAGCCACCACTTTCCCTACATCTCACCACATACCCCTTTGGCTGTAGATGAAAGGACAATATTAATGGAAACATCTTCCTTTGCATTCAAGGGAAGCCCTTCTACTGTAAACCTGCAGAAATCTATGTGACAATGTGTGAAAGAAACAACTTTTCAGTGCCTTTCTTGAAGCAGAAAGTTGAGCAAGATTTTTCTTTAATTTTCAAGTGAGCTGTCATCAAACCTTTGTATCAAACGTTCCAACTCCCCTCAAGCACTTAACAATTCCCCGAATCTACGTTCCCCTCCACGGTTGGGAGAACAGGTTGGCTGAGTCCATTGCTGTCTCCATAGATACCAGTCAGAGTTGCTCCTGGAGAGGTGAAGGTTTTGAACAAGAGAAGTAGGAGTTTGTATAATATTAAACCAAACCATCTCATTTCAAGGCGATCGGAACATTGAGTTTCAGCATTTGTGATTCTCATCGTTACCCTCATTATCAGTGACCAGAATGGAAAAGATATTGTATCCCATCAGATCAGACCCAATGTGTGGGAAATATTCTATCTTTTCTTGTGTCACATCGCATGGCCCCACCAGATAGAATCTTGCACAAGTTTCTCTTGTATTTGCTCAGGCAGTTAGCTCCTATCTACCTCCCTTAGCTGGGCAGTCCACACATTTTAGCAGCTCACAGCAGTAAGTGGTTAACAATGAACCAGCATCCTCCTGCTAAATTTGAGTCTCCACTCTTGTTTGTTAATTCCCTAGTGTTTCTATTGATTTCTCTGTTCCCACATTAGCGTAGGCCCTGGTGCAGGCAGACACTTTTTGTTTGCAGTTGCATCACATCTCACCTTTCATTGAGCTCCCTCAAAAGAGTGACACCTGACTCGCCTGGTGCCCTTCCCTAATCCAAGAACACTGAGGAAAATATCTATTTGAACACCAATGGGTGTAGGGAAAGGGCATAAAAGTGATATTTGTGCAATCACCGAATTGTTACAATGTCGAAAGAGGCCATTTGACCCGACATGTCTGCCCTGGCTCTCTGAGTGAGCGATTCGCTCGGCGTTGAGGAAAAGGGTTAGCCATAGTTTTATTCAACTGGGAGTCAGGTTCCTTTATCCTCAGCTTTTACTGGCAGCACCTCCAGAGCCACACTGAACAAGGTCAGGGACTGAACCCAGGACTGTATGGTTCAGGTGCTCTCTGAGCTACTGGGGGAGGCTTGGCTTTGGCTATTTGAATGAGATTTTTTTGAAGACACAAAGAGCTATGGATAGGGAAATACCTTCTGCTCAGTTCAGCCTCTATGACAATTTGCACTATAGCACATGCACAACCCCACTCTCCTACTCAACACCATGTGACCTTGCAGGGAGGGACTTCTACCTCAAAATACACTTGGGTTAGAGAGGTTGAAAAGATCCGAGAAATTCCTTTCTGATCCCCTTAGATGATCAAGATCAGTTTAGTGGATCACTTGGTCCTGATAGGTTCCTGCAGTATCTACCTTCTAAACAACTAAAACTCCACTTCTTTCAGAAAAAAATGTTCTGCTGTCACTAGAAGCTGTGTTGCTGTCATATCTGCTTCTACCACCTCTCCTGGCAGCATGTTCCAGGCACCTACCACTCTCTGTGTAAAAAAAAACTTGCCTCGTGCCTCTCCTTTAAACTTACCCTCTCTCACCTTAAATCTATGTGCCTAGTATTTGACATTTTCACCCTGGGAAAAAGGATCTGACTATCCACCCTATCCATGCCTCTCATAATTTTATATATGTCTGTCAGGTTACCTCCTCAGCCTCCGGCATTTTAGCGGAAGTAATCCATGTTTCTCCAACCTCTCCTTTTAGCCAATACACTCCAATCTAGGCAACATCTTGGTAAACCCAAGGCCTCCACATCCTCCCTATAGTGTGGTGGCCTGAACTGTACACAACAGGGTTGTGATTTCTTGTCAGCACCTCCCAGCCAGCAGCCCCTCCTGGGGTAGGTCTCCTATAATCCACTTATTTCGCCATCCATGAAACTCCAGCATGAAACTGTACCCATCAGAGGTGGAATGTACTGTCTGAGAGTGTGGGGGAGGCAGGTTCTCTCGGGTGGTGAGGGTCTGGAATGTACTGTCTGAGAGTGTGGGGGAGACAGGTTCTTTCGGGTGGTGAGGGTCTGGAATGT